CGTTTAAAAATTGTAGATGCTATTTAATTTGCACAAGGTTTAGGAGAATTTGTTCTTTGTTGTAACTAAACATTTTGGTAAGTCTTAAAAACTTTCCACTATCACCATTAACTTCGCAATAAAGAACATATTCCAAAAAATTGTGTGAAAATTTATAGGAATCTCTGACAGCAATATTTGAGGAAAATATGAGACTCGTAGGTTAATTAGTTTCTGAGATATCTTACGCACTGTAGTTTTACAGTTTTAACTGAATTTTGAAATAATCTTCCTCTGATATGCACTGATTCTATATTGTTCCTGGGTTCCATTAGAGGTTTCTGACCACAAGGCCATAAGGTTTCTGTTGTGAAAAAGCCCTGATTACTTTAAAAGTAACAAAGGCCCGCAAAAACTTGAAAATTTGGACTGTTTATACTAACTTCAGTAAGTTCAAGAATCTTAGTCCTACATTACGCCATATGACGATCTCTTTGGCTTTCAGGACTCGTTACTGCCCACCCTGGATCATGCTCCGACTTATACAGCGCACTCAAACAACCGACTATCGGAAACCCATCCAACAAGCTGCGGAGCTCGGTTCGCTCATCCCTTGATGACTTAAATAAAATAAAAAGTTGTCAGGAAACAAAGGTGAGTTGTTCTCTCTATGTGATAAAAAAATTACTTGTTACTCTATAGAAAGGTTTGCTGTCAATGGTTAGCCACAAACCACTCCAAACTGAAACGTGAAACCACCATGTATGTGGTGCACGATTTTTGAGCGAACTCCTCTTGACTTGTTTCAGTGCGCAGCGTCCGCCGAAAATTACTGCGGCTGCAGCTCTAACGATGTCCAATGCATTGCTAAGTGTGGATTTTCTTGCCCTTGTGACTGTTATGGTGTTTCAGCGGGCAAGTCAGACGCCTCTCAGGTGGTCAAGTGCATGGCAGATAACAATTGCGTCGGCAATGCATTCTCGTGTGGTGTCCGCTGTGGGGCTGATCAGGAATGTAACGCCAAGTGCGCTCTAGAGACCTTTGACTGTCAATGCAAGTGCAACGGCTCTCTCGCCTTGCGACCCACACTCGGCGTCGCCATCGCGCTCCTGTCAGCATGGCTCATCCAGACCATAGGATAGAAAAGTGAATTTTAATATGACTAAACAGTGACAAGAAAACTCTCATATTTGTGGTTTCGGATGTCTTTCTCTTCACTGATAAACTAAGTGTTCAACTGCTCAACACTTGTAAGTGTTGAACTGCAAGGTAAATACTTGCAAGTGTGCAACTGCAAGTTGAATACTTGCAAGTGTACAAATCGGTAGGCGTGCACTTACAAGTGTGCAACTCCTCGGTTGAGCACTTCCTACACAGTGAGCGTTCCATCTAAGGAAGTGTTCAACCGAGAAGTTGTACACTTGCAAGTGCACACCTACCGAGTTAAACACTTGCAATTGTACGACTACGGAGTTGCACACTTGCAAGTATTCAACTTGCAGTTGCACACTTACAAGGGTTGAGCAGTTGAACACTTAGTTTATCAGTGTTGTGGGATCAATGGTGGCTGGCTCACGGCTCACGCCGCTTATTTTCGTAGTTATATTGTACAGGCGGCGTGAGTCAGCCACCTGGCTTCCCGAAAGCAATAAAATATGACACGGTATGTTTAACATTAACCGTTAATGATATTTCCTCTGAAGAGCTACTGTTGGGGTAATTCTTCCGCAAAGATCGCTGATTCCTATGAAACGCCTTGTATACCGGATTATGGATGTATTAAACCACTACCCTCCTCCACTAGCCGTCCTTTTACTTTTATTTTTTCACAGTACCCGTCTACACGAGAAGTGGTCCTCCGCTGCCGGCGCTCTGCGTCGCGTTCTTCCGTTTTGCGCCCTGCCGTCTCCTCTCGCGCCCCGCGAGGACTTCCGCGGAGGCGGCGACGACGCAGCCATTGGCTAATTGCGAGTTATCGGGTTTCGCCACCCAAATTAGAGCGGGCCAAAGCTGAGCGCCACCAGGCTGCGGCTGCAGCCGTGCTTTGAGGTTGGGTGGCGAGCGCGGGGCACAGCCGGGCGCAGCCCGAGCAGCCCGAGGCCTCCCCCTAAACCGTCCAGGGGTCGCCCAGAAAGTACGTCCGTTTTTCTCAGAGTCATTCGGAAAACGACGGCAGCTCGGCGCCTGCAAGACTCGGGTTAGGCCACCCCGCAATACTCGCACGCATTGGAAGCAAGATGTTGCCTACGCATCAGGCGCTACGGGAGCGTACAGAGCCTAAACTTGTCAGGTTCAGAAATGACGGACGTACTACGTACTATCTGAATGATCCCCAGTGGCGAAAGAGGCCGTGTTGTTGGAGACGAGGATAGAACGGCCCTGGCGGCCTCCTGCCTGGCAGCACTCTCTGACATTGTGCCCTGGTAATTTCCTATTCGAATAAGTGTTCTTCTTTCCAGAGATACCCTCTCCAGCCTCGAGATCTAAGCCGTTCAGTTCTATGAGAGGGGAAGGGGGTCCTTTCAACTTTTACATATTTCCAGCAGATGATACATAGCGAATCATTCCACAATAAACTAACAAGAAATGGTACACACTTCTCATGCAGTATGCCGCCGGACTAGGGTCGGCTGGGGCCGCTTTGACAGCGCCACCTGCTGCTTGGTTTGAGTGCTGTGTTGGGCCACATTTCTCGGCTGCTTTTGAGAGAGCGCTTTGGCTGCCGCCTGACCGGCCCGGTCGCCGCCGTGACTGCAGCGGTTCTGTACGTGACCACTTCCCCGTCGATTAGGCCGCGACGTGCGGCGCGGCGCGCGGGGCCAGGAGGACGCCGATCTGGCAGCGTTGTGGGCGCCGGGAAGCCCGCGCACCGAGCTCTATGGGCCCCGCGCCGGCCGCGGGATGCAGTGCCGTGACCCCGGGCGGCGTCAACGCCCCGCCCATGCTCCTGCCCGTCCTGGCCCGGCTCGGCTCCTCGCGCTACACTTTTCACCTCTGCCGGCCCCCTCGGGCGGCGCTACCAGCGGCGCCC